AGATAAATGAGAACAAGACAACTAGAGAATACTGTTGATTGATGCTAAGTTCTAGTGAGAGAATACTAAAATTTTAGTATGTTTAAGCCAATTTTCCAATTCCTCATCTGTTTACATCTAGTTAAACGTTGAATAAAGCTTAATTGAACTTCCTTATAGATGTGGAAATGAATGGAAATAGTTTGTCTTCCTTTCAAACTTGTTATCTAATCGATTATTAACATGAGAGATATAGATTCGAATGATAAAATATTAGTCTTGTGAAGTTAAAAGCTTAACAGATCATCACATGAGATTTTATTGTTTCATTTAATTCTTACTATCATTTATATTTGATGACTTATATATATCATAAACTGAGGTAGTTTAGACATGTAATAAGGATGATGAACAAACCACCGCCTGCTTTGACGTCCTATACTAGCAAAAGTTGAATTAGTTCGGAACAAGGTTTAACGAAGTTACAGTAACATGCAACCTCGTCTGGTTAACTAGTTCACTAGTTACTAGCCGATCCTAAGCCCGGGGAAAGAGGGAAGGTTGGGCGTAGGGCTAGCAATCCTACTCCGTGATACCAATGCTTGATTCTCGATATAAGCCTTAGGTGAGGTCACTGAAATAATAGAAATTTATGATTAAGTAATCTTGGTGATATCTCTGAGAATCGATCACCATGGCACAGATATATTCACTGTTTGATGTCTACTTCGATGATACCTTCCTTTTCTATTCTCTTTTTCTTTATAATCATAAAGTATGGAAACTTGAACCGATGCACGTATTTGCGAGCTTCTGTGCTGATCTCACCAGTTAGTTAGTCAGTCAGTCAGTCAGTCAGTCAGTCAGTCAGTCAGTCAGTCAGTCAGTCAGTCAGTCAGTCAGTCAGTCAGTCAGTCAGTCAGTCGGGGATAACATTACTCAATGGGGTGTGGATACCTCCGGCTGACGAGTCCTGGATAGGACGAAACGCTCCTCATTCACAATAGCGAGACAAAGATAATAAATACATTTATCATGTAAAAAGTAACCAGCCGATAAGAACAGGATAAAGAATATATGAATTAAGAGCATAAAATAAAGAAAGGAGGAGGGTAGACAAACATCAACACGGTAATATAACACAATGTCTTAAACTAGTTACGAGTTAAGATCTTTTAAAGGTTAATTATCTTAACTACGCAGTAAAACATTTTTTGACATATCAAAAATTCTGAATGAAAGATGAAATGATATAGGAAAACTAATGAGGAAGTAGATAAAACTATTTTAGTCCTGGATAGTTAACCTGTTGTCTTCATATTTCTCTAAAAGGAAACAATATACTTTGCACAGAAGGAAGTGCTTCATCTCGGTGGGGCTTGTGTATTTTAAGACGCTATTCTGTCCTTCGGTCTTTCCTTTTCTCCTTGTATGATTTACCATTTCCATCTAGCTACACTTTTGTCAAATATACTGATGACCTGACAGTTTCTATGTGTATCTTCTCTTCATTAGGTAGTTCTCAATTAAAAGATATCCTGTCTACTACTGAACGAAAGTCCTACGTAAAAGGTCTTGGAGACTATAGTAGATTGTAACTCCATTTTAGTCAGTTTATTAGATGTTTCATGCAGTGAAGGAACAGTATGATTTACTTGATAACAACGTTTCGGACGCAATTTATTGTCCCTATTCATATCCGGTAGTTAACTCCACAACTTTGAGACACAGTTTATATAGTCCTTGTTTTCTCTACTTCCTTCTGATGACATGGGCAGTAGAATTTTCTAGATATCTCGGACAGATGCATAATTATTCCTGTTACTGAATGTATTTGTTGATTCAATAAACAAAGGTTCAGTCGGTTATCAATCTCTCTCTCCACTCAGCTGAGTTAGTTTGTAATACTGTCACTCTAACCCATCCCATTGTGTGTGAGTGTAGAGCTACAGTCAGGGTTTTGTTTATAGATTTCTTATCTTATTAGGCTCTACTCATCTTGATTTAGCTAAGTTTTTGTCCTATGTTATTTTAATCGACCCTGATCGACTGCTTTGACCTGTGTACTTGACCTGTTAATCAATGCAAGAGATCTGGTAAACTAGATTATTTTGTTTAATTGCATCGATAGGATCTTCCAATCTACAAAGCTTGTTTCTACTCGAGTTTGTTGGTTCAAAATCCCACTTTAATCTCAGCCGGCCTTATTGAGAATACTTCGTAATGCTTCTGATGATCTTTCCTTGTACGGTAGCACAGTAGAGGCTTTAAATTATCTCTCAATTCTGTCACCATTATTACTACTAGTAGTTGGATTATTATTAATGACACCGGTATTACTACTACTACTACTACTACTACTACTACTACTACTACTACTACTACTACCAATAATAATAATAATAATGATACTAATACTAATACTACTCACGTTACTACTACAATGCTTTTCTTTCAATTTCTAATGAAGTTATTTATAAATTTTGGTGGGTAATTATTGAGACCCAATATATTCTTGATGTGTCTAATTTCTTGTCGCAGATTTTCCAATCTACTAGTAAGCTTTTTCTCCCTATCACCTAGGCATTTAACTAAGCCTACTTTAGCTGAAATGGGGTGGGACGATTTGAAGTCTAAGTAGCGATTCGAATGGGAAGGTTTCCTATAGACACTAGTCTCTAAACTTCCACCTTGTATTCGTTTAATCTTGCAATCTAACATTGCTGGCTCACCTTCTTCACTTTCTAAGTCACAGGATTGCATTCACTACTGAATTTATATGTGCTAAGAACCTGTCGATGTATTTTGATTTCAGTAATGTAAACGTATCATCTACATATCGGAACCATATCTTTGGTGTAGAACTCGGCGTTTGAAGGGTCATCCGTTCTCAACTATCCATAAATATGTCTGCGACGATAGGGGATATTATTGATCCCATGGCAACATCTTCAGTTTTTTTTATATATTTTATTTTCAAACTTAAAAACTATTGCTGTCAGGCACAATCATACTCCCGTCATAATTTCCTCCATTGGTATCTTTTTTCAATGCGTTAGCTCACTTTCATCCTTACGCCTATTTCTAACTACTTTTAGAGTCATGTCGATAGGTATATCCGAGTAAAAGTTAAATACTGTAATGTACAATTATGTAATATAATCCCATTACACTTTATTGAAGTACAGTTTTCTAGTAAAAATTATAAAGGCATTAATTGAATTCTAGAGTAGATTAAAGATTTCAAATTGTAACTTTCATGAGTAGGTTATGTTCAAAATACCAACGAAATTTCATTTCTTAGGGGAATTTTAGTGACCTTGAGGGTTGCTGAAACAACCATCGAAGTAACCAATCACTTTTCTTCCTTTTATTGGAAAATATCACTTCAACCGAAATATTGAAGCCTGTTCGGTTATTCCAATCATTCCTACGCTGGTGGAGGGGGAGAAGGGTTCTTTAGAGTCCCTGAGAATTAAAGGACCTATCAGAAGCGAATTGATGTTTTGCATAACTTGCTTGGGTTTCAAGTGTAAAGGAAGGAATGGGTTGCCAACTGATCACTTTCTGTTTCATGAGTGATATCATCATATGCATTGGACACCAAGGTATAAACATGTTTCGTCCTACTTAAGACTCGTCAGTCGGATTCACCTGCCTTCATTGAACGATGCTGTTATTAGGATTCGAGCTTGGAAACAATCACTTTAAACACCTGAAAATACGGCCACAGGCTCAAGGTCACTGATTCGGTTGCTCAGTGACGATAAAATCCTTTCACCTATCCTTGAAAAATTCATTGATCCGATGAAGACTTTTGCTAAGAGGCCTATTTAGAATTACTCGAAGAAGTAGTTAGGGGCTGAGAGTATACCTAATTCAGTGTTGTCAATATTAAGCCAAAGTATAGGATTCGTCGTACACTCCGATGTTGTATAATGTTGTGTAAGTAGACTGGCCACTAGATGGTAACTGATTGAAATCCATCAGTCAACTATTAGTGTTATGTTTCATGGAGTTTTCAACTATATGATACTGTCATTTAGTTCTATCTCAATTTATATGGCATTGATTTTAACCCTACTTTTGCCTACCATAGTATGAGAGACTAGATAATAACTATCATAACGTCTCATTTGCCAGGTGTGACTCACAGCCTAGTAAGCAGATCTTTACACGACTTCTTAGTAATATTATTGTCATTATTACAGTTTGTTTCAATTTACTCCCATTTCTTATCTACCACAATCTATATTAAAGGCAAATCAGAGAACATTAGATTCTGAACTGATTAAAAGTCCTCTTGAAATCATAAACCAGCTAAATGTAAGGCAGTATGCCTTTATTTCAACGCTGGTTCCCAAAAAATGACATACTATCTTACCTTACTCTATTTTATGACTTTATTCCTAATAAGTAAAACTTCGAGAGCCAAATTTTAGCAATTTAAATCCGATCTTTGAGCCCTTGCTAATTTTCAATGGGTATAGTGTTGATAACCGCATGATCGTTATCGTAAATTTGTTTTTTCCGCCGCAAAAAAAGGTGTTACTTTACGCATAAAAGGAAAGACAAAAGTTTATATAACTTTCAACCGGCGAATGTCAATAAATAGACAACTCGATTCTGATTCGCTCTTTCAAGGTCGCTCATAGGGTGTCTCAAGGTTAGTAGGATTCTTCGATTTTAACCGAATAGATATTGTTAGTCTGAGTTTATAATATTGAAATCTTTGTTTAAACAGTAGTGTTTCGTTTCATGGTGTCAGGTCATAGATGAACCATGTTTTCACTTCTACCAAATGAGCAGTGATCCTAATGAAAGACTCTTGAATGAACTGAATAGGATGTATCGTAATCCTTGAATGTTTACTTTTAGGATGTCTAAACAGTATCGCTATTCAGAGATGCATTGCGTTTAAACAAAAGGTGATTAAGCCAAGAAAGATAGGGATAACTGACCACATAAAAATTATAGTAAAATTGAATGAATTACGTTTGATAAAAGAAGTATGAACTCACCAACTAACAAGAAACAGGATGTGCTTTATTTTCTACTAGATTTTTAATATACTTGCAATCAGACTAATTTATGGATAAAAGAAATATTCCATTTCAAGAGGGTAACAATGAACATGACAGTATTATTAACATCAAAGTTATATTGTTGATATTATCTTGTCAGGTGCCAATCTAAAATTATCCTGAATTTTCATGAAATAGGCGGGAATCGACCAGTTAGCATTTTCAATCAATATGAAGATAAATACAAGTTGACTATTGGTCGTTTTCAAGGTTGTTCAGACGGTAGAAAACAGAATGTGGGTGGTATTATGATGAATGGTAGAAAACAGACAGGTATCATCACACGACAGACATACTTTGCTGTCAAATGATAAGAGTTGAAAGAAAAACAAGGAAATTAGTCTACATATTGGAAGAGATGAAATGTGTAGTTGTAGTTCAGTGAAAGCGATTTCATGTACTTGTCTACTAGAGGTACAAGTCAACAGGGGTTCCTATAGTTTTAATGTATTGTGACACAGTTTAGGGTATAAAAAATATTTATTCAATGAAAGTCGCACCTGTTGCGATCCTACAGTTATACATCCACAGTATTCAGTTAAAGAATAAATGTTTGTCACCAACAAGGAGATTTTTCTTAAATCTCAGAATAAAATATTATTTTAATTCATTTCAAAATCACTAATAGTGTAAATCCATTTGGTGAGTAACGAGAAAAGGGAGACACGCTGGAGCGGGAAAAAGATCCTAGAAGATTTAGATTTCGCCAATGACTTGTGTCTAATGTCGTACAAACTTGAACATCTACAGACAAAATCCAACAAGTTCGCAGAAGAGGCAGGACAGCGAAGACGACACTTCAAGTGAACAGAGAGAAGACACGTGTGATGAAGATACCCAACCAACAACAGCATCAACAACTACAAGAGACACCAATCACCATGAACGGGAAGAATGTAAAGGAAGTAGTCTCTTTCACCTACCAACTAGACAGAGCAACATCGTTTCAACTACAGGCGGTGGCACAGATGAGGATATTAAAGCCAGTCAGGATCGGAGAGACAACATGACAGGCCTTCCTGCATCAATCTGAAATCAGTGTGAAGATCTACTGCACCCAGCATAAAGCGTGAACAAGATCTGGATTTCTAACACCAATGTGAAGTCGATGCTGCTATGTGACGCTTGAGAAACTTGGTGTGTCACACAAAGCATTTCAAGCAAACTACAAATATTCATCAACAACTGCCTACTCTGGCTCGTCACTGAAGTTCAGATGGCCAGAATAGTAAGAATCAACAACAAGGAAGTGACTGTGGCAACGAGCCAACAAAGCAAAAACTTGTCGATTGACAAAAATGCAGAAGAAAGTGGAGATGGATTAGGCATGCAGTGAGAATACTATAGGGGGACATCACACTCTAGGCCAGTTGCTCGAATGGAATGCAAAGGAGAAACGTCGAGTTGGGTATGCGAGGTGAGGGTGAGGGTGACATTGAGGAGATGATGTGAGGATGAAATGAGAGCTTGTGGGCAGTTGTGGAGTGAGGTTCAAAAAATTGCAGAGAGTAGAGTGTAATGGAGAGGTGCTACTGAAGCCTTATGTTTCACTAGGAACCCAAGGGACAAACAATAAATAATAATAATTTGGTGAGTTAAAAGGATTCATTGGTGTTTTATAAAGTAGTTTCTCTGACGGTTTGCTATCAGTTAAAAAACCACTGAAAACCCTGAAGAACTGGACAGCAGTTTCATCCCAGTCCTAAAACTCTCATCATTATGCATTCAAAACTCTCTGCCAGAGGACAGCCTCAGAACCGAAATATAGTATGACTGCAGTAGAGTGCCATTAGTAGGCATTGATCTCATTCCTCAATCGAATAACCCACCAGGACACGGCTTCACACTGGAATCTAAAAGATTTATCTTGATGGAATCTACTGGCTGAGTTGAGACGCACTAACCACGAAAAATGTTGGCACTGGACTCCACTTCTCCAGAGTCATCCTTTTACACTGCTGAGGAATGCAAACTGTTACGAAATAACTCTACTGTGCTCAGAAGATTCTGTTGACATCAATGAGGAAATTGGTCCAAATAAACTATAGCAATGAACATGCTGGTATCCACCGAACCGTATTAGAAATAATTTTGATCTGATATCACTAAGATATGAGACCAACCAGTTCGATTTAGTCACCACCAAAAACTTACATACTATAAATTAACACTAAAAGGGGATATATCATCACTCACTAGTCTAGTGGATTACTCTCTCGGGTTTGCAGCGATTGGTACCTGCTTCAAATCTCTCAGTCGAGAGGTGGGTATCTGCAGTTGAAGACTCCCAAGTGGGATGAAATGCATATCCTGGATTCCTCTGCTACCCACTACCCATAATTAATATCCAAACTGAAAATATCAGCAATATCGAAGTGTCGATTCGATTCAGTCATCCATGGTGACTTACCAGCCAAAACATGTCATTAAACAAAGTGACGTTGCATTGTAATGCAATTCATCTCGATGGTATACATAGAAAATCAGCCGTTAGCCTTACACTTCTATAACAGGTCACTGTTAACCTAAATGACTTGATGACTGAGTATGTAACTTTGGCGACGGTTCAAATTACTGATAAAACACCATCTTCCTCATCTTCTCCGATTCACCTGGAAAGTCTTACACATTCACATTATCAACCAAACCAGGAACAACGCAGATAGAACATTATTGAGTTCAATTTATTCTCATATTTTCAATTCTCGACAGTCAAACTGCGATATCATCAAACAACTACCTCGTTGATAGGCTCGTATTCATGACTTAAACTGTGGCAGTAATAATAATAATAATCATAATAATAATAATAGTGGCTTTATTCTGAAAGGCATTTCGGAAATACTCTACAAAATTGTAAGCATGCCTTATAGCATCAGTTGCACAGAGATAGTGTACATGTATACATAACAGAATGAAATCAATTTGTTACAGAGAAAAGATAAGAATATTCACTCTATCTACAACTTTCTTCAAAATCCACAATCATTTTAAGTAGATAATCACATAAGAAATTAGATTCATAACACGTAAACAGTAACATGCTCATCATCATCATCATCTCCAGTTGGTTTACTTTGGAAAACTGAAGTTGATCAGTGTCAGTGTCATTTCTAATACTTTCTTCATTACACAACAGACGAGCTAAATACGTACGGTATTGTAGAGATTTCATATTTTGTAGTATGTGCACAGAGTCTCATGTAATTACTCCTCGTCTTTCCTCATGACTGACACACAAACAGCTACGATTGGAGATGATGTTGGTCATCTGATAAAGTAACTCCTACCACATGTTTACATGAGTTAATTTGCTTGTCCACAACAATTTTTATCAAAAGGTTTAGAGGTACATCACCAGTTCTACTAACAGTCTTCAATGTTCATCCCAATACACAACAGACTTTTATTCAGCAACACAAGGAAAAATAAACGGGAGCAACAGAGGAGAACAGGTAAGATGCAGGAGTTTATAAAAGACAAAACAAAGACTTCCTTATACCAGATACACTCAGCATCCTCATATAGAAAGTTAAGCTGAAAATGCTTTCAGAAATTAGTAAGATGTTGGAGGACCAGCAAACTTCCGAAGAAAATCACACATCAAGATAAATCACATTTGTAACCTTCTCTAATACACAACCATCAAGAAAGAGAACAGGAATCATGAGAAGTAAGCAGTTTACACAGGTTATGTCCACATCTAAAACTGAAGTTTGAAGTCTGACATCTTGAAGAATTAGGCGAGAGACCATTCTCGGAAGATGATCGTCTAACAGTAGACAGGAGGTGATTCAGTTGGGAACAATCTGTTGAAGATGAGACAGGTGTGGAAACTGTCAGGTCAGCAGGATATTTTATGAAATTGTTATCAGATGGAGATGGTGAGTCATATAGAGGGGAAGAGAGAAGACAGGGGTAAGAATGGCTGATTGGGGAACACCAGTCACAGTAAGTAATGAGGTGGAGTGCTCCCCTCTGTGAACAGTATGTTGTTTCGCATAACTGAGATAGGGCTGCAGCTAACTGATTATCCAGGACTCAGTATTTGTGCCGTGTAGCTTGTCCAGCGAAAGAGAGAGAGAGAGAGAGATCTTGGAACAGAATGGAATGTTTGAGTATAGTTTAAAATGTCACACCTGACATATTAAGCATTCTTGTCAAGACTTTAAGCAATATCGTGATATAAGAGAGTGGTGGCATCCAAGTTGAGCTGAATATCAGTTGTTCATCATCAGTTGTGATGTAACTGGGCAAAAAACTTATGACTTCCGTAATCTCCTGTCTAAGTCACCTTTAACCACTATGCATATTTTACAGCCATTCTAAAGTTTATCGATAACATGTTAGGTAAAATTGTAATAAACCACACTGTTTATAGTCATTTTACAAGTGTTCACATTAATCCCAAAATGGAAGAAATCAACTGTAATTACATCACACTAAACAGTAACGAGTGCACCATAATATCGTGACCTGACCTCAATTGTAACTTGTCAGTCCAAAATATGATGAATGGAAGGGGAAGAAAATACCATTCTCTTACTTTATATCATAAAGTAGAAATGAATCAACCATTATGTCTTCTTTTATCAAGATCAGTGCTGATTGGTACTTTCAAGGTCAGTTATAAGTCAATCACCCTACGATACTTTAGTTGTACCATGGAAGTATGAGCAAGTGTTAAGATGGCTAAATGAATGCTGTAGACATGAAAACGTGGCACTGAAGCTTTCTAGTATGTCGATCATTCAGGAAAAGAGGATTATAGACAGATAAAAAAGATCAGCGTAGAATCTCACATGTCATAGATAAAGTCGTCATACAGGGAATTTCGTTCGCAGAATAAAATAAAGACAATAAATTCGGATTCAAAAATAATACTACTAGTAAGTAGTATAGTTTTATAGGAGAAAGTTTAATAACACCACAACACCGAGGTGTTGTCATCTAAACATCTACATACTAGCTGATCAAATAATGCAGTATGTAATTATTTCTGCAGCCATTTAGAGACATGTTCAACAACCTGGATCTGAAAGGTCAATTAAGTCACTCAATTAATTATCAACTATCATCATCGACCTAGATTGGTGTACACTGTGGGATGTATTGTAATAAAATTCAGACATTCCAATGAGTACAAGGGGTAGATAGACATCATCTGCATGTCGATGTGCAAACACTTCAAGGAAAGGGGCTGTAGAATTGACCTTGAAACAGTCTTTAAACAATAAAGTGGCTTTAGTATCATTGTTTTTGTATGATACCGACGTTGCTTGAACCGCATTGATCGGTCTCCATTGGCTTATGGCTCCTGTTCGGATGCCTCGACATTGCCTGCGTTCTGATTGCACTATTGTATTGTTGGGTCGTGACTACCAGTGGAATCCAGGATGCACATTTCGTCCTACAAAGGACTCGTCAGATGGATGTACCTGACTCTAAGTGAGAGACGTCAATCTTACCGGTATTCGGACTCGGGAGCGATGGCTTCAAACGCCAAGGCATTATCCAGTACACCACCGAACCATGACACCTACTTCTTGTGCGACTGGTATAGTTTTAGTATAATTGTTTTTATATGATACCGTCGTTGCCCTGGCGTTTGAAGCGATCGCTCCTGAGTTCGAATCCTGATGGGGACAACACTCACTGGGAAGTAGGTACATCCAGCTGACCAGTGAGTCTCAAATAGGACGAAATGCGCATCCTGGATTCCACTGCTGGCCGAGATCCATCATTAATACATTGGTTTGTTTCACAAGTGACTTATTATTAGCTACGACATGTACAGTTGTGCATATAAATCATATCTTCGAGACAATAAAGACGATTTATAGCTTTTACAACTAACCTCCATCAACCTCTTACTAAAACACAAGCTTATTCATCAAACCAACTGATCGAGTACTTCAAAGTTTAACATAGTATATTATACTACTAATAAGTAGACTGAATGGTTTGGAGAAATTGTGTACGGTGTGTGAATCGAGACAACTTCTCGAAGCTGACTGATTCCAGAATAAGTGAAATCACAAGGCGTGATGCCTACACTAAGCAAAATATGAAATACTCACTTTCACGATACAAACAGGAAAAATGCAAACAGTGAGATACATACAAAACAGACGTAGGACCTTGTACAAAAATGTATCGGTTCAGCTTACCACACTTCACAGTATTATACAAAGAACAGGTGGATAAAAAAAGAAGTTATATCAAAGTAGACAAAAGTGAATGAGAAAATAATAAGTCTTCAGACAAAGGTTAGTGTAATTATTAAGGCTTCAGAGGATTTCAAAGCACTGTAACTGACTTTCAGACGTTCCACCTAGCTTCATCCATTGATTTCTGTCATCTTGGGGATCCTAGCCAGAAAGCCTACACCTTTCTTAACAGCTTAGATCAACAGTTAGGGACTTCCTAACCTCCTGACCTCACCACTCTCAACCTTCTTCCAACTTAATCGAAATTCTGCTAGCATGGCATACTGAAGTACATGCAATATATGCGCAAGCTATTTGACTCGCTCAAGGATTACAACCCCATCAACAGCCTACGCTTCCTTGCCGAATGCTCTTCTCCTGATCTTCGCACTGCTAGCGTGTTTACTCCACCATACACGAGCAATCCTCTGAAGAAATCATTGGCTAAAGACTTGTAACTGTTCCATTTATTTTACTTTGAACAGCTATGTCTTACAGCCGTATAACACGCCAGAACAAACCACTGCTCAGTATAATAATTCTTTAATAGGTAGTGGACTATCTTGCTGGTCAATGGTTCAGATGATGCAAATTAGCTAGTGCCAAACAGGTCTTCTCTATCCAAGTTGAGATTTCATCAGTTAACAGCCTGTTCGAACTGCTGCAACTCCTCAAGTAAGTGAAGCGGTTGACATATTTGAAAGGTGTTTCTGTTATGGGTCGAAATATATCAGAGGGAACCACTGAGAATCTGAGAACAGTTATTGGACAACTAATCTATTTTAAGTTGAGACTCCTCAGCAGCGCATGTCAATGCCAAACTTGACACTATAATGGCGAAAGCAGTTCCTTGTTTCATAACCCAAGGATTCTCAACATCCTTGTTATGCATTCCAGTGAATAGCATATCCTTTATGCCAACTTGACTACTACATATCTGAAAACACATGTATCAAGTAGGTACTTGCTCAAAGCAAAAATTGGAAATAGCTAACCGTTTCAGAGTATTCCTATCGAAAATTGTGTTCAAGGAGTATTCAGCTACATACAGATAGCGATATGATCATAAAAGTATTTATGCATTTCGTACATGGATTACCAAACCAAAAAATGAAGACAATAATTTCGAATTCATAATGACAGGAGAGGCAGCGAAGACGGGACTTCAGGTGAATATAGAGAAGACAGAAGTGATGAAGATACCGCACCACCACCATC